TTTTTTAAATAGAGTTCTCACTGTGTTCCGCAGGCCAGAGTGCAGTGGCACAGTCATAGGTCACTGCATCTTGAACTCTTGGGCTCAAGCAGTTCTTTTGCCTCAGCCTCACAAGTAGCTGGGATTACATGTGGGAGCCACCACAACTAGCTAGTTTCTGTATTGTGGATGAGCCATAGCAACAGGGAGGGATTTCTGACATTAGTCAGCTGCCTTGGTTTAATGTATTTGAGCTATATCTAGACAGTGCTTCAGTCTGGCTGACACAGCATCATGGTCTGACAGGTTTTCTTCATCCTACCATAGAATCTCATTTGGTAATAGAGTTTTTCCTCCTACCTACCAAACCACAAAATGTCCCACTGGTGACATGTTGCACATGTAAGGATCATTCAAATAACCAAGATTATAAGGTAAAGAAAGGCACCCCTAACTGATTCTTTTGTCTCTCATCTTGTTGGTTCCAGGGACTGAGTGGGGTCAATCTTCTGGTGCTGCCTCTCCAGGTCTCTTCCAGGCCGGTCATAGACGTACTCCCTCTGAGGCCGACCGATGGTTAGAAGAGGTGTCTAAGAGCGTCCGGGCTCAGCAGCCCCAGGCCTCAGCTGCTCCTCTGCAGCCAGTTCTCCAGCCTCCTCCACCCACTGCCATCTCCCAGCCAGTACCGCCTTTCCAAGGGAATGCATTCCTCACCTCTCAACCTGTGCCAGTGGGTGTGGTCTCAGCCCTGCAGCCAGCCTTTGTCCCTGCCCAGTCCTATCCTGTGGCCAATGGAGTGCCCTATCCAGCCCCTAATGTGCCTGTGGTGGGTATCACTCCCTCCCAGATGGTAGCCAACGTATTTGGCACTGCAAGTCATCCTCAGGCTGCCCACCCCCATCAGTCACCCAGCCTGGTCAAGCAGCAGACATTCCCTCACTCTGAGGCAAGCAGTGCTACCACGAGTCCCTTCTTTAAGCCTCCTGCTCAGCACCTCAACGGTTCTGCAGCTTTCAATGGCGTAGACGATGGCAGGTTGGCCTCAGGAGACAGGCATCCAGAGGTTCCTATAAGCACCTGCCCAGTGGATCCTTTTGAAGCCCAGTGGGCTGCATTAGAAAACAAGTCCAAGCAGCGTACTAATCCCTCCCCTACCAACCCTTTCTCCAGTGACTTACAGAAGACATTTGAAATTGAACTTTAAGCCCTAATCCCTAGGGCTATTTATCTTGTCCATACATACAGGGAGCAGTGGGTGGAGGTCAAAGGAGCAAAACACACTTTGTCTCCTGGTTAGTACTCTTTTCACTAATCCCAAAAGTCCCTAGGAACAAGTCTAGGCCCAGAGTACTGTGAGATGTGATTTTGAAAGACGTGGGAAAAACCATTCCTAGAGAGAAGCTGCCTTGCAGTTAGGCTAAAGAAGTCAAGGAAATGTTGCTGTCTGTACGCCCTCTTCCCTCACCCCTTACAAATCTCTAGCAACAGAGAGGCAAAAGTATCTGAATAAGAATCTATATTCAAAGCACATTTACTGAAATATAAAACCCAACAGGAAGCAAAGCAATCTCCCTTTTTCAGGCCATTCACCTGCCTCCTGTCAGTAATGGCCTGTATTAGAGATCAAGAACAGTGATCTGTGCTCAGGCTAGGGAAGAGAGAGGCAGGCCATGCTGCCAGAATTCCCAGGAGGACATATCAGCAACTGCCCAGCAGAGCTATATTATTTTGGGGGAGTAGTTGAGCTTCCATTTTGAGTAACAGAATAAATATAAATATATATCAAAAGGCAAAATCTTTATTTTTATGCATTTAGAATATTTTAAATAGCTCTCAGATATTAAAAAGTTGTATGAGTTGTAAGTAATCTTGCCAAAGGTAAAGGTGTTAGTTGTAAGAAATTGTACATAAGATTGATTTATCATTGATGCCTACTGAAGTAAAAAGAGGAAAGGCTGGAAGCTGCAGAGAGGATTCCTAGCTTGTTTGCTGTCATTCATTGTAAGTAGCACATTGCAACAACAATCATGCTTATGACCAATACAGTCACTAGGTTGTAGTTTTTTTTAAATAAAGGAAAAGCAGTATTGTCCTGGTTTTAAACCTATGATGGAATTCTAATGTCATTATTTTAATGGAATCAATCTAAATATGCTCTATAGAGAATATATATTATCTTTATATTGCTGCAGTTTCCTTATGTTAATCCTTTAACACTAAGGTAACAGTGAAATAATCACACCATAGAAGGGAACACAGGTTACCATATTGGTTTGTAATGCGGGTTTTGTTTTATCATTTAAATTTTGTTCCCATGAGTTTTGTGGGGATGGGGATTCTGGTTTTATTAGCTTTGTGTATGTCCTCTTCCCCCTAAACCCCCTTTTGGTGAGAACATCCCTTGGACAGTTGCAGCCACTTGACCTCGGATAATAATACGCGATCTCATCTCATTTTTACTTTTGAACGTTGGCCTTACAATCAAATGTAAGTTATATATATATTTGTACTGATGAGAATTTATAATCTGCTTTAACAAAAATAAATGTTCGTGGTAGAAGCTTTTGCCCATGAAGGGCTGTTCTTCTTTCCCCTTTATTAGTAAATGAATTTACTTTTAGTTCTTTTGGTCTTTCTCTCTATTGTGCTGCTGCAAATCCCTAATTTAGTGACTAGAAGAATACCCTTAAGGTTCATATTTTCATTCATACTTTAAGCTTAAGTTAATCCTGAGTGTTTCTCTAAAGTCAGATTCTTGCTGCTCAAAGTGTGGTCTGGAACAAAGGCATGGACTTCACCTAGGAGCTGGTTAGAAATTCAGAATCTCAACCCCACCTCAAGACTGGAGCAGTGCTTCTCAACCTGGGCTATGCAGTAGAATCACTTGGGGATATTTTTTAAAATCTTAATGCCTGGCCTATATTCTAGATCAATTAAATCAAAATTTTAGTGGGGTAGGGGACCACCTCCCCAAGTTGTGTTGTGGTGTTGTTTTTTTTTTTTCTTGCTCTGTTTTTTTTTTTTTTTTTTTTTTTTTTTTTTTTTTTTTTTTTTTTTTTTTTTTTTTTTTTTTTTTCTCTGTCACCAGGCTGGAGTGCAGTGGCGCAATCTTGGCTCACTGCAACCTCCGCCTCCTGGGTTCAACCAATTCTTCCGCCTCAGCCTCCCGAGTAGCAGGGACCACAGGCGCATGCGACCACACCCGGCTAATTTTTTTTTTTGTATTTTTAGTAGAGACGGGGTTTCACTATGTTTTTTTTAAACTCACAATATGGTAAAAAGTTGTGACCCACTGGCCTAGAATGAGTTATATCTCTAATCTTAGCCCACTATTCTGTGACTGGTTCTGTTATTAGAACTAGTTAGCTGCTAGTTAACCTCAAACTTACCTTGTGATGTGTTTATACCAATAGGCCAAATTCTGATTTAATTAAACTGGGAACTCCAAGAAACTGGCCTTTATTTTCCAATTTCTATGGCAAAATCAGCCATGGTAAGTGAACGTGGATGCTCTTCAGTATTTTTGCACTATTAGATGAAAAAAGACCTCTGCCCCAGCCCACGTTTCCTTTGTTGAATGAATAGTAGACTGAGAAGTATCACTCACCCATGATGTGGTTTGTCCCTTTTCCATTCAGTGTGTTGGTAATAAAAGTCACCTTTCAGAGCTTTGGTCCCTGTAATGCCTGTCTTTCCTGTGTCCAGGAATAACCTTTGCTACTAGGCAGTCCTCTGGAAGATTTGTAGAAGGTTAAAAAGTGGAAAGGGACTTGGAATCTCATAGAATTCATGCCTTTTGTTTTAGCAAAAAGAATTAGAGGTTCTGAGAGATGAAGAATGATGTCTTCCAACTCAAGCCATTTCTGAAACCATTTCCCTGTTACTACATTGCCCACAACCCTTCCCCATTGGTATCTCCATCCTGCTAATGCTGTTTTTAATCACAGTCTGATTTTTCTCTGGCAGCAAGAATTTTTCTTCACAGATTCCTACTTAAGGAAGAGAGGGGCTCTTCATTGTCACTGTACAGAGCAGGCTGGTCAGCTTTAGACAAGTGTCAGATGAACCTTCACAGCCAGCTTTGCGTCCTTCAAGGTCCAACATTCTCGATGATGTAAGGAGCTTTTCCAGTTCTTTCATGCTCTGGTAGCAGTGCTACCTGCAGCTGTTTCATCCCAAATCGCTATTTGAGGTCTTACATCTATTCCATTTTGCCAATAAGGGTTATGCTGTTAACCCTCTGCACCAGATTTAGTGATTGCAGCACTGCCTAGAAGGGTGAAAGAGACTAGAACAATGAACTATGGTTGGTTCTAGCACAGAATACTTTCCTGATACAGCAGGAGTTGGCATTCCCCTTATAAAACAGGTGTTAACTTTGAAATCATTACACATGTCCCTGCCCAGCTTTAAATCAAGTGGAGCCCTGATAGCTAGCTTTAAAACACCATTGATGGGCCAGGCACGGGAGCTCACACCTGTAATCCCAGCACTTTGGGAGGCCAAGGCAGGCGGATCACCTGAGGTCAGGAGTTTGTGACCAGCCTGACCAACATGGAGAATCCCCATGTCTACTAAAAATACAAAATTAGCCATGTGTGGTGGCACATGCCTGTAATCCCAGCTACGCAGGAGGCTGAGGCAGGAGAATCACTTGAACCTGGGAGGCGGAGGTTGCAGTGAGGCAAGATCACACCATTGCACTCCAGCCTGGGCAACAAGAGTGAAACTCTTGTCTCAAAAAAAAAAAAAAAAAAAAAAAAAAAATTTTGTAAAAAAAAAAAAAAAAAAAAAAAAAATGCATTGGACTAGTCCTGTCTAACAGAAATTATAAAGGAAATCTTTAAAAAGTAAAGGTTGCTCTTAACCAAACAGATTGCTCTTCTTGACAACAGCAGCCTATGTTTATGTCAGAGATGCAAACACTGCTGAAAGCTACAGAGGGAAGCTGGTACTTGCTGCTGTTTAGGCTAAACACTAGGTGGGTTTTTGAAAGGGCTAATGTATTCCAGATGATAACTCTGTTTGCCAGCCAGAGAGGAAGCCAAGAGTCCATTTTCCTTTCTCCCCAGCCCTGTGAAGTATTTTGGATTGGGGCTGGAGCTGGCCGTCATCCCTACTGCCAGATGGGCTGAGCGTGAGGCTGGAAACGGGAACAGCTGGCACAGCAGAAGCTGGAGTAATACTCATTGCCACAGAGCTGGGCCTGCAGGATCAAATCACAGTTGGCCAGCTCTGGCTGGTCGATGCATTCCCTGCCAGGGTCCCTGGGCTGGGCAGTGGGTGCTGCAGAACAATAGGGGAGAGAGAAGGTGGTGAGGAAGCTCTGTGTATGCTGAAAATTCTCACCTGCCATTTCATTTCATTTGAAGGAACACGGCATTGTAACTGCCAGATTCAAAACGAAGTGCACTTACCCTGTAACATTTTAACAACCATATGTACAAACCCTGTGAGGGATGATGATTTCTACCTGTTTTTTGGCCTCACTTCAACATGCAGTGGCCCTCCCATTATTATTTGTGGCCTCAGCCCAGTGAATAGCTCTTCCCAGACTCCCAAATATTTATTGACTGGATGATTAAACATCTCTTGATGTTAACTCCTTACTTTTGAGACCTGAACTGCTAAATGACAACTGCTTTGGCCTCTGGATTGGAAGAGCAGGTAGGATCAGCAAGAGCTGTGTTATCTTTTCCTCTACTGGGTTCCTCTAACCATCAAATTTTTATCCCTTCAGTATCACCAGCTTATCTTAGTCACCTAGGGCCTCATCCTTCCAGTTTTTCACTTCCCCAGAGGAAGCAATGCATATTAGACAAGGTAATAGGAAAACAGTTTTGTTAACGGTGACTCTAATATACTGAGAACAAAGACCTTGTGTTCTCGCCCTCTGAATTTACTAGGAACATCTGTATCTTGTAACTCCCTATTAAGAGTTTCATTATACTGCTTCATTTCTCTTCTTTCTGGAAGGGGTTCTTACAACCCAGCTGACTTAGGCCAGAGCAGTACCTTCCCTGAAGTCAGACCTCAGGGAGCCAGAGAAAGCTTTTCTCTTCTCTCCCCTTGTTTCCTCACAAAATACCAGTAAAAGACTGTACCTAGCAGCAAACAACCTTACAAAGGTTTGGTATATTGGTATAACCAGAATACTAACTAAATTTACATAGCTAGCAAGGCCATTAATGCGTTTTGTTTCTAAAAATCTGTAACTTTGGTATCAACTCTGTCTGAGCTGGTATAGCCCCGAGACCTGTCATAGTGGGAACTCCGCATCATGACTAGACACACCACCTCTGGACCCAGACTGCCTGGACTCAATCCAAGCTCTGCCAGCTGGATAACTCTGGGCAAGTTGCTGAAGCCCTTCATGCATATTTGTTCATCTGTAAAATGGGATTAATGGCACCTACTTCACAGGGATGTGGAGAAGTCCTCCCAGCAGAGCTATGTCCCTTATACCTCAGCCTGACTAGTCCAAGGCCTCCTACCCTGGTGCCAACACAAATTCCAGTGTGCCACCCAACCATGAGTAGGGCAGGGTGAGGCAGCCTCACGCTGTGACCCAACAAAAAAATGAACAGGTGAGAGCAGCCAGCACAGGACCTGAGAAGGGTGGCCAGTCTGAAGCTGTCTGTCCCATCTGGGGCACACATCTCATCAGGCCATTTCAGCTTGGTAACCAGGCTTCATCAGGCAAGTTTCTCATGATAATTTGGTTTCCCATATAATCAATCCCATCTGTAGCTAATCACAAATATAATGTCTAGGACCTCTTAGTTCTGTTTCTCACTGTGAATCTGCATTTTGGTTTGTCTCAGAGCCTCGATTTGATTATGTAGACAGGGTCAATTTTCTGGACATGATACAGGTGAAAAGTAGTCCCTGGAGTGTGGTGCTTTCTCCAGGGTAATTCCATCATTTTGTGCAGGCAGGCACTTAGTCACCAAATCCCCTGAGAGTCGCGGCATTTGTAGCTCCGCGAGCAGGAGCGAATGGAGGGGGGTGGAGCTGTAATGCTCCCGTTCACCCTTCACTGAGCTGCCAGAACAGGTGAGAGCAGCCAGCCCCTGCAGCACCCCCTCAGGGCTCCGCGGTTGCTGGCATCTCGGAATGTTCGAGCGCCACCATGTTCCCCTTGTCTGTCTATACGCTAGCACCCAGCGCGGAAGCCGCCTGGCCTGTGCGGTGCACTGAGTGCAGAGCCACCGTGGGCGTGGGATCCGGGCCGGTAGCACCAGCCAAGCACAGCCTGCCGGGCCGAGTGGGCGGAGCGAGAGGAGCAGAGCGAGGCCTTGGACAGAGGTCTAGGCGGCCGGCTGGCAGCTACTGAAGTGCCAGGAAGGAACCCTGTAACCCTCCCTCCCGCTCGCCGAGCAACAGGTAAGAAAAAGCTGCTGGGCGCCGTTTTCAGCCACAACATGAGCACCTAGTCATGCCAAGCACTGAGCGGGGCCCTGGGGAGGTGAGTCCCAATTGAGGCCTAAAGAGATCATAGACGGGAAACCAACATGTCAGTCCCACTCACAAGGCAACATTTCAGCCACAGACCTTCAACTTCTAGTACCAGCCAGTCTTCACCCTCAGCCTGGCAGCCAGGAGGCAGCCAGGCCTGCCCCTCTTAGTGTAACCGTGCTCCTGGTGTGGCACTGCAGCCCTGATTGTCAGGGGCATCCAGAAGACCAGGCAGGAAGGGCCCTGACACCTCCAAGCCTGGCATACTCCCCCCAAGGTCTCTATATCAGGCCTGTGAGAAATGGTGGCTTGACCCGAGGTGCTGCTCTGCTCCAGTCCCTCAGTGAACAAGAACCAAGGACACAAGGGAAGCAGGCTTGGGCAGGAGGCAAAGCCCTTTCCCTTTCCCTCTGGCTTATTTGAACACAGCTCTCCTAAGTGTGAACACAAAACCATAGTCTGTTCCATCAGTTCTGATATGCACTTATTTTCACATCTCAAGTTGGTCCGCATCCTTATTGATGGTATCAGCATTATGTCATTTCATTAACAGCATTTTTTTCTTGGTACAAAAATAATGCATCTTATAGGGAATTCAGATTTGTTGAAATATGATAGAATAGTAGATAGAGAATGTAAGGCTACAATATCAAATATTAAATGATGCAAGCAAGATTTCACTTAGGTACAGGGGTAAGTTCGTGGCGGGGGGGAAAATATATGGGGAGTCAGAAGACATGGGCTTTAGTCCCAGGTAGGTCATATGTGCTGTGTGACTGGTGGAAACACCACTTAAGCTGTCTGGATACCTGTCTCATTTGTAAAATGGTGATGAGACTCCCTGCCCTTTCCTTTCTGGGTTATATGGTCAAATGGCCATCAAGGTAGTTTTCAGTCATAGGACCACCTTTTTGCCACCCTGATTATAGTGGACAGATTTTAGTGGTCTATCTGCCTTAAGTTTTATAATGAAATTCCAGTCAGTTGTATTTCTCAAAATTGGTGAGTCTGAACTTCCTGCATGCATTTAACTTCTGTTAAGCTATCTCCAGGGGTCCAGCAAAGCATCATTTCCATCCTCTCCACTACAGCCCTCTCAGGCGGTGGAGCAGCCCCACTGGATAGAGGAAAATGAGGCTCAGGAAGGTAAGCCCATTGCCTCAAGTCACACTACCAGCAACTGACAGGGGGAGCCAGGATTTGTACCAGAGTCCCTCAGACGGCAGAGCCAGCCCTCAAGAACCAGTAAATATACTGGGGAAGCCCCTTCCTATCCCCGGAGATAGACCTTTCCTACCTGGTGAGACCACCTTCACCTCGGTGCTGTGGCTGACTGCCTGGCTCCCCCGGTAGGCGCTGCATGTGTAGGAGCCCTCATCCCTGGCTCGCAAGTTGTAAATCAGCAGCGTGCCATCTGGGGACTGGTGGACACGGTGGCCGTCAGCTTGCACGGGTAGCCCATTCCTGGAGGAGAGAGGACACTGGGAAAGTCATCAAGGGCCTCTGGAGGCCTGAGAGACAGAGGCAGGAGGTAGTCAAAGGCCATTCCAGAGCTGGCCATTCCAGAGCCAACCATTCCTCCCCTTGGGGGCAAACAGGTGGAGGAGAAGGAGAAATCAAGAATGACCAAGGTTTCTAGCTTGGGTTACTGAGTGATGCTAATACCCCTCCAACCTTGGGAGATCCAAGGCCAGGGTGAATGGTGAGGTTATTTTCGCCATTTCAAATTTGGGGTGCCTGTGAGATAGCAGGGGGCCTCAGATTTGAAAACTGGAGCTCAAGAGTGCAGACCCAGATAAAGTATCAGCATCACACTGACACAGCAAAGTGCCATGTCTGTGAGGTTGTCCAAGTCACACAGTGAACAACCAAGGACTGAGGACAGGCCCTGAGGCATACCAGAAGACAGTGGCTTCCCACAGCTGAGGGGAGAATTTCAAGAAGGAACATATGGTCAACAGAACAACACTACAGGTCGCGTAAAGACTGTGAATTGTCCAGCAGAGTGAGGGAGAGAGGCAATGGCCTTGGCCAGGATGGGGCTAATGTATGGCCCCACTGCAGGGCCTGAGAAGTGAGTAGGGAGGTGAACAGGCAGAGGCAACCCACATGGACAGCTGTGAAGGGGATGCCATGTCCGCGTAGGGGCTGCAGGGACATACTAACTCACAGGAAGGTGGTTCTGAAGAGGGGAGCATGTTTGCTGCTGGAAGGATCCAGGAGAGGCCAACGTGGAGAAGCAGGCCTGACAGGCTGATCAAGGGAGGGCTGGCCCGAGCACACCAGCAGGGAAACTGCCACCAGCTCCCCATGCCTTACTGGGCTCAAGGCCACACAGGACTCAGATGCCCTCCACAACTCCATCACCCCTCCCCACCAGTGCTCAGGCCAGTTTCCATCCTGGCGTCCTCTCTCAAATGCCCACCTTTGGCACTTGCTGCTTCCCCTACCAAGAACATCCTTTGCCATCCTCAGCTATTAAGGTACAGCCAAAGTCATTTCCTGGCCCACCCTTCCTTGACTCTCCCAGACCTGAAGCAGCCTCACTCTTCTGTGCACAGACAGCACTTGGAGGAAAACACATCTGGAGCTCCTGGAACACTGGGCCACCTGCCCGGGAGTGCCCTGGGGCTCAGGTGACCCCAGGATCCCCAGAACCTAGCCTAGTCCTGACACATTACAGGGAGGGAGGGAGGGGACAAGAAAGTCTACTGAATGAAAGGACAAAAAACAGACTGATCTAGGGTAAAAGACCACTGAAGTCCCCAAAGCTGAGTATAGTTCACACCCCCAGGAGATATTTTGCCACCAGGGGACATTTGGGAGTAGGTCTGGAGATATTCTTTATTGTCATGACTTTGGGGAGGGTGCTACTGGCATCTAGTGGGTAGATGCCCTGGATGCTGCTCAACATCCTGCAAAGCACAGGCCAGCCCTTAGCAACCAAAACTTACCAGCTCCACACTATGAGTGGTGCTGAGGTTAGGAATCTCTAGCGTGGCCCAACCAGCAGAGAGCCAGTGGTCCCACAGGGCTGTGCTGTGTAGGAATAACTGTGCTGCAGCCCTCTCCCCTGGCACCAGGCCTGGAAGCAGGAATGGAAGGACAGTGGGGGCAGTGGCGACAGTGACATCCCTGGCAGAAAGATGGACACCCACACCTGAGGTTGTGAAGGTCTGGGGGCAGGGGAAGCTTGGAAGAGAGCCTTTACCTGGACCACCTGATGTTCACATTTTCTCCTGCTACCACACACAACAGCCTGGCAGTGTCACCTTCAGGCACTGTCACAGTAGGGGGCATTCCTGAGATTGTCAGCTCCCCTGGGCACAAGGACAAGACATTGTTAGCCACTCTGAAGATCCTGCCCTACCCATGCCACCTGAACTCAAAGGCCCCTCAGGACTGCCACTTTACCCAGAACTCTGAGCTGGACCCATCGCTGGTCTCGGTCCTGCCCATTGAAAGCGACACAGGTGTAAAAGCCGCCATCTTCTACAGCCACTTGGCTGATGAACAGGGAGCCATCAGGCCGCAGCTGGTGTCTGGGGACCAAGTACAGCCAGTTGTCTCCAGCCCAAGGGGCGGCCTCCCCTCTCCTCCAGCTCTGTCCCTCGAGCATAGAGGCAGGGAGGGAACACAAGGTCTTCTAGGTCCCTGGTGAGAGGCTAAGCAAAGCATCCCCTAGTGTTCACTGGGGTCTGACAGAAGGACCATTTGGCCTCAGACTTTACACCTGCAGCTGCTGGCACTTTCATTTGAAAATGTCCTTTATTTTTTAGACAGTCTTGCTCTGTCGCCCAGGCTGGAGTGCAGTGGCATGATCTCAGCTCACTGCAGCCTCTCTGTCCTGGGTTCAAGCAATTCTCCTGTCTCAGCCTCCCGACTAGCTGAGATTACAGGTGCGTGCCACCATGGCTGGCTAATTTTTGTATTTTTAGTAGAGATGATGGGGTTTCAGCATCTTGGCCAGGCTGGTCTTGAACTCCTGACCTCGTGATCTACCCACCTCGGCCTCCCAAAGTGCTGGGATTACAGGTGTGAGCCACTGCACCCAGCCAAAACTGTCTGGCTTTTAAGCTTAAAATATAAATCATTTCAAGCTTCATGATACAAAATTTGGGTTTGGGTTTCTAGTTTTTGCTATACTCATTTACTGGGCCCAAATACTGGTTCTGCTGCTTATAAGCTGTGCGATGTTAAGCTTCTGTGTGTAAAGTGGGGAAAAACATCACCGACTCAATACGGCTTTTTAGCAGGTCACGTGATACAGAATAAGCCTCACACTCAGTGCCCACTCAGTAAAGGGTAGCGATGATGATTACAGCTGGAAATGTGTTCTGACTCCATTTCCTCCTCCAGCTATCACCTCTGTTAGCTGGCCTCTTGTTTCTGTCCATTAACCACATTCTGGAAAGGCCCAGAGACTCAAATGTTAGCCAACCCACGGAGCCCTTTGCCCAACTGCTCCATCTCTCGAGAGGCCCTGGAGTCCGGCTCAGGACTGGCCATGGCGATGCCCAAGCAGTCCCTTCCCTGGCGGCCTCCACAGGATAAGATAGTGGGGCTGGAGGCAGAATAGGAGGAAGAGGAGAGGAGTCAAATAAACCTGGGAGAAGAGACAGGGTGCCCATCTCTCTGCCACTCAATGGTTGGGGGTGGGAAGCCTTCGGCGCGGCAGGTCAGCCGGATCTGCTGGCCTGGACTGGTGTCTACCACCTGGGGCTGGTTCCGGTCCAAACGCAGCCTGCCAAACAAGCAGCCCACAGCATGAGGGGCCCTTGCTCCTGTCCCATCCCCTGACTCCCATGGGGACCTCTACACAAGCCTGGTGGCCCCTTCTCCCTTTCCAGCAAGTTTCGGCTTCCTAAAAATCCTCTCCCACCTTGTTCTGTTTAGGAAACTGTCAATAATTACCTGGGGTGAAGGCTAAAGGTGCCCCCACCCCCGCTGCCCCCACCACTCCCTACCCATCCACCATGGCAGGACACACCCACCAGCCAGGATCCCCATCTGTCACCCCCACCCTGCACATTTGCCACTAGGTCTTTGACTTAGGCACCCCCTCTGCAAACTGAACCATTCCTCAAGGCCAGTTCAAGACACTCCCCAAAGAAGCCAGCTCAGGACCTCTAGTTCTGGGCGTCCTTCCCTTCCTCAGTTCCTGAGTCCTGAGCCTATGGAACTGCACCGTTCCAGAAGCTTCCTCAAGAGGCCCAGCTCTGTTTTTCTAGGCCTGGTCTCCCAGAACCCTGAGCAGGGGCCAGCAAAGCCTGGACACAGCACATACTTTCCCCTCCTCACCCACTGAGACCATCGGCCCTGGCCCTGGGGTCGGGGAGGGCAAGATGGCATTGCTGAACTCTTACCAGTTTGCAGGCTGTGGGTGTGAGGAGGGGATGACCCCCAGGACCCCAGCAGTGCCACCTTGGCCGAAGTCCTGAGGTGGATTCCTGGGCTGAGAGAAGCGGCTCAGCTCAGCCTCAGACAGCACAGCCATGTCACCCCCTGTCATGAGGCCAGGAGAAACAAGGTGTGAGCTGTGGGGAAAATGGAGGGGAAGGAAGGGTGGGCCATAAGACCAGCAGGGACTATGGAGAAATGAAGGCCACAGGGTGGTCCCTGCCACGAGGAGGAATTCACCCAGAGAGACACCCTGGGCCCCTTTAGTGTGTGACAGCCCTGGCTCAGGCCCCTCATCCTGGCCTTCCCTCTCTGGGGCTCCTGAGAACGCACTGGTGGATGGGGTGGGGACAGAGACCTATGATGTGAAGCTGGATCTTCTGAGAGTTGTGGCCTGGCCGGGTGCTGCCACAGCTGTAGGTGCCCGCGTCCTCTGCCTGCAGGGGGTGGATGATCAGGGAGCCATCAGGTTGCAGCCTGTGCCTGGGGGGAGTGGGGGAAACATGAGCTCTGCGCCCGAGTCTTCCCTCAGCCTCTGTGCTCCTGCCAGAGGAGGCCAGAGCCCACAGAGCACCCTCCCAACCCAGGTGAGGCTGGGGTACTACTTCAGGGGAGGCTGTCACTCACACCTGTCAGAGGAGGTGAGGGCAGTCAATCGCACCTGTCAGGGGAGGTGGGGGGAGGTCACACACACCTGTCAGGGGAGGCGGAGGGGCTGTCACAGCTGTCAGGGGAGGTGGGGGGGGCAGTCACACACCTGTCAGG